CCCATTCCGCCCGGACCCATCCGCCATCCCGACCCTCCATCAGAGCCCACCCCAGGCTATTTTCCACTCACCATCCCGGCCGTCCATCCGTCCATCCCGACCCTCGATCAGCCCATCCCGACCTCATTTCCACTCATCCCGAGAGAGACGGTTAACCGAGGCCTCAATTTTCAGACCACTTGTCAGGCCATTTATAACAAAACCCAAGGGCCAATTTAACCAAACTTGCCACCAATTCATAGAAGGGCGGAGATCATACTAACTACTTGCAAAAAAAAAAAAAAAAAAAAAAAAAACTTAAACCAATAAAACAGCAAGGCAAAAGTGTGTTTCCATGCAAAATTCACTCATTTCAGTTTTCAGGATCTTCAGGATTTTCAGGATCTTCAGGATTTTCAGGATCTTCAGGATTTTCAGGATTTTTCAGGGCTACTAGCCAACACAGTAAACTCCAAGACCCAGACAAACACCAATCTTGGCACACACAGACCTTAACCAAAAATAAAACAGGGCAAAAGAAAAAAAGAAAACAGAAAAAAAAAACAATAAAAAAGATCTCCAATTCACTTTTCAGGGTAGAGGGGGGGTTAACCAGGGCTGCGGGAGTCCCTGTTAACCGCTTATGGAGACATCCCGACCCGCTCACCTCCCATTCCGACCGTCCATCCACCCATCCCGACCGTCGATCCGCCCATCCCGACCCACACACCACCCATTAACATTAACAACTATCTACTTTGTTATTTTCTTCAAAAGAAAAAATGAACGCGCATTTATTTATACTGAGTACTTTATAAAGCCACGACAGCTTGCACTGTCTCGTCTAATGGAGACCACGTGTCGGACGGAGTGCAAACGTCGGCCATTGTATGACTTCATGCCTCTCTATCCTATCCCATTGCCACCTCCCGCAGGCCCGAATTTTTTTTCTTTTCCCTTTCCCGACCATTTGACTCCATCCAAAGTTTTTTTTTTTTTTTTTTTTTTTATCAAACAACAATTCATTATCAATACGAAACAGAGGCCGGGGACCTCACAATTCAACCCGGGGGTATCTGACAGCATCAGCCAGCTTAGCTTACAGGTAAGAGACCTGCGGATACTCTTGCAAATGCAGAGTATAACAAATGAACTAATTTTGCCTTTCGCAACGACCACTCCATCCAAACTCGAAGGGGGCACATGAAGCAAGCCCGAATAATAATTTTCTTGAAAACCCATCGTAAATCGATCACGATGAATTTCCTCGGCACGGATGTTACTCCCCCCTCACATAGCGGGGGGGGGGGGGGGGTACCGTAGCCTCATCGTAAGCCACATAGCCCCCACGTGCACCACAACAGTACCGTCTTCACCCGAATAGAACGCCCCCGCCCAATATGCCTGTATGTAGACTGAAAGTTGCACAAAATATGGCTATAATGACCGGGCGTTCTATTCCGATGAAGATGGTAGTACCCACCCACCTAGATCATCGCCGAGTGATCACAGTGATGTATCGCATGGATGAGAGTATTGATTGCTCTCCCCACTCACCCACTCACCCACTCACCCAATCAAGCAATCAAGCAATCAATACTCTCACCTACTCACCCACCCACTCTCTCACTCACTCAGCAACATACTGCTGTCCACGCACGCAACACTGCTCTGCTGTCCTCAGATAGTAACACCAAGCACACAATCCGACGACATAACTCACCGACATATTGATCGACTGAACTTGCATCTTTCTTCCAAACTCAGCGCTGACTGATGTCGAGTTTTCATAAGTTGAGTGATGATGTGTATTTTTAACTTCATTTTGGGAAAGGTCTTTTTGATATAGATTGGTATATTGATTGATTGATTGATTGATTAGGTTTTTGAAAGAAGACTATACAAGATATAAACTGCCCTCCAACAAATAATCATTCGTGCTCTTGTTGCAAGAGATTGATTGATTGATTTATTGATTGATTAATTGATTGGCTGATTGATTGATTGATATATCGATTGATTGGTGTGTGTGCCTCTGTGTGTGTGTGTGTGTGTGTGTGTGTGTGTTGCTGTGTGTATTCTTATCTCGGCGTCGCTCGTCTTTCTCCATTGATTGATTAATTGATTGATTGATCGATTGATTGATCGATCTATCGATTGGTTGGTATGTGCCTCTGAATCGTCGTCGCTCGTTCTTTTCCAAGGTCCTCGTCTTTTCGGTCCTCCATCCTTCTCTTCCCTCGCCCTCCCTACCGTCTTCCCCCGAACATAACGCACCCTAAAAATGAATGTATACGAGTTATATTTCCGGCCAGATACAGCCAAAATGAGGGTGCGTTATGTTCGGCGGAACACGGTAGTCGTGCTCCCTCCTTCCTCCTCGTCATCCCCCCCTTGTTTCCCGTTCTTCTTCCTCTCTCCTTCCAGCATCCCTACCGTCAACCCGCTGCGACGTCAGTGAAAAGAGCCAGACGGGGAGAGAGAGAGAGAGAGAGAGAGAGAGAGAGAGACTTCTTTACCG